CACGCTCAGCGTGGACACCGACCGGTAACTTAGGACAAATAGATTTAATAAGCGCTTGGTGAATTAACCGATGCCCCATGTTTCATTATGTGTTTTAGCTGACATCACGCAAGATGTGCACGAGTCGCAATTGATTTTACATTTTTTCAGAAACCTAGTCGATTAAAAACTGAGAAGTGGAATGACCACAAATTATGTTTGTACCTATGCAACGAATAAATAGAAACATTATTTATTAAATGTGGCTGTGTATTTTTAGGTGTGGAGTTGGCAGATGGACAACGTATGCATTTGAAAGACTGCCGTTGGTCGTCGAATTAGTCTTTATGTATAGTTGAGTCGTTATAGTCAACTGCTGGGATGTACACGGGCCCGATGGTTACTATGAGAAGCCTCAGCAGTTGACATCGAATATAGTTATGAGCACGACGGACCATCTTTACTCATTGGACCGGGCCCCCGGGCATAGTTGAGGCCTCAGACTCAGCGCTGCACATAAACACACGCCTAGTAACCAAGGTAGGCAATATCGATTACAGTCACAAGAATGACGAGCCGTCGTTGGGCGTTAGAGTAGGATATCACATATAGTTAGGGCCTCATTTTTATCGCCCTCAACGATACTTGCCTGCCGTCTACTATAGATCTAACGGCGTTCAGACGAAAGGCGGATATTTGGTTTTTGTAAACTAATGCATATGAGAGTTATGCTTTCCTGTCCAATAATCTGCAACTGTTCAGTTTGCCTTTTCTAATAGATAACCCCGCGGCGGAGGCCTTCCTACTTTCGTGGTTAACAAACACTCGAGGTTGCTCACAGTCATGGGTATGACGGGCCATCTTTGTCAGATGGGTTAGACGCTGTGCAAAGCTGAGGCCTAATAATCAGTGTCGCATACGGGCACCGGCCTAGTAGTTTCAAAAATAGCCAGGGTTCGTAATATCGCGTACGGTTATGACTATGAGGTTGGACTAGGTTACCGGTTAATCAACGCCGCGCATGGACACAGACCTATAAGGTGCGATAAGTTGCCAAGTGAGGCCACATGGAGTACGCAATGGGTATGAAAGGTTGTCAGATTAGGCTCGCACATATAGTGGAGGCATTATTCTTACCGGCCCGCAAGGATACCAGGCTGGTGCTTGCCGTAGGTAGCAAAGATAGGCGGCATCGCGTGTAGTTAAATGTATGAAAGACCGTTGCTAGCAATTGGAGTATGTTACTGTGCACAGGTGAGGTCTCATAATCAGTGTCACACATAGACATGGACCCAGCAGTTACGGTAGTTGGTCGAGGTGGGTCACCATGGCTACCGTTATCATGGTGACCGCTTGATGGTGGTCACCACCTGTGGATCGTCATATTCATAATGGGAACGATACGTGCAGCTACCTCATGACGCCGTATTATCTACAGATTAGTCATGCATATCTGGAAGAAAGGATAATCTAGAGATGGTCCTCCTATCGCCACTGCACAGTTCATTTTGATGTCTAACGACGGTGTACTTAAATGAAGTGGAGATTCATGAGAAAGTGCGTTGGGAACAGGTTTGCCAAATAAAGTCATCTGGATTGTTAAATCCGAGGAGTGTTAAGCAAACAAATACGTACCAGGGGGGAATTTGCACCAAGTGTTCGTGAGATGTTTTTTAATATCAACGAACACTGAAGAACGCCCAAACAAGCTAAATTGCCATTTCGTGTTTGGTATCACGTAAACCGGTAACGAAATGCTAATCGGTGATGGTCCGCGACCTTGACATTTCACTCACTTAAACAAAATGTTTGGGCAACATGTCACCGGAGGGTGCAACTGGATTAGACTAACTCCCCTTTAAAATCACAACTTCGAAAACCATATAGTTTTGGCGAAGACAATTTGGGTGTGCTTCTAGCCAGCGGCTATCTCAGCATGATATCCCACAAAAAAGTAAGGAGAATTCGTGATAAATGTGACTCCCGTAGTGGTCTGGCTAACCAATAAGTTAATTTACCGGGAGTGTTTGGCATAGAAATAACAATAATGATGCTAGGTTGGGTATACAATAATAAAGAGGTCAGATGGAACGGACTCACTAATAATTGTTCTTTTTAAAATAGTTCGTCGTTGGCCAAGGTCAGCGAATAAACAATTATCCAATTATGGTATTCCGGGGACCTTCTTCTGAACGGTTCTCGCGTATAATAGATTCCGGAGATGGTCTGAAACGTTTTGATACCAGAGTTAGCACATGAGACCTTCGAATGACCACTGCAAGCGCGAGCGAAATCAGAAGAGAGAGTCGAAGCACGTGACTACATTTGTATTAGGTAAAGTTATACAATTTCGCGTTTTTGTAGTTTTTTGTATTCAAACAAAAAACGATTATGAGATTAATGAAATACGTACTGTTATAGTGGAAGCAAAATAAAGGTACAAAACGCCACACTCCTTTCTCTTGGTGGCTTAGGCATGGTAATGTCTACATTTGATATTCCATAGGGCACAAAAATCTGCAAGCTTGTGTTTATTGTGGTCATTTCCCTGTTTCTTCAGCCGAATTCGCTCACTCAGTTTTTGACAATTTAACCTAGTTTGGTGACTCCACTTGCATATGAATCATATGTCATACGGCCTTGATGCAAGTCAGAAAAAGAGTCCAGTTCCAGGCCACTGTCAAACCCGAAAGATCCCATGTGAGATTTACCCTATCACAAGGTGGGCCACAAATACATATGCAAGCACACACAAGGAAAAAGAACTCGCCAACGCAGTGCGCATCAACTGCACGCCGCACCCCTCTCTTGGACCTACCTTCAGTAAATTTTTGCCGCGAACAACAAGGAAAAAGTGTGACAATTATGTTGTAAAGAAAATTCTTCCTGTATCCGGCCGTTTTTTCACTCAGCCTGATCAATGATCTTGAGAACTGATAAGTCTCCCTATTCAAGTGTACTTCTTACATCATGATCTATTTAACCGTAGTGCTCGAACATTATTAATGTCTTTCCATTCTGATATTAGAGCACACCTTCGATTTATTAGAGCAGTAATATGTCCTTTTAACCCTGCACGAGCTATCCGAAAATAATGAACATGCCTACCGCGATGATAACTCGCAGCACAGTTCTCACTTTCAAAAACACGGAATCCTCTATTCGTCCAGTCAAGCAGGATATGCATGGCAGAAATTAAGTACAGGAATGGCACTTTTTTCACATTTTGCGTCCACAAACAAAATATAGGCTCTAGAATGCTCAGTGAGTTATACCGGCCACGAAGTAATGGGATGACCAGCTCCAGACGTACCTGGATCACACAGTGTTCAGTGGAACAACCACTGTCCGTTGAGGCAGATTTAATTGGTTGTTCTTCACTCAGCCTTGACGGATGAGTTTAGTTTCAGTATCACATTTTGGCCCTCCTAGAACTTTCCACGTCAGCTTTATAACCAGCCCATTTTCGGCTGCACATGACATGCCTATACGCTAAACACAACGAAGTGGCTGTCAAGCGACTATCCAAAATCTGGTTCACGGTGCTAGGAGAGCATTCGGAAAACTGTGGTTCACAACACACAGCTACCTATAAGTTTACTTCGTTGTGAGTAATTCTCATTTTTTCGCCATTCGCGAGTACATTGGGCACGTTTTTTCAATCGATGGTGATTGGTGATCTTGAGAATTCGTCGCGTAAACAGGTCATCCATAAATATAATTTGCAGAAGAGTTCATTATACATAGGCATCTTTCACATTTTTTGGAGTTTTAACCTTTAAAACTCTTAGTTTCCGAAAAATCATTTCCATTTCCTATAAAGGAAAATGTTGGTAGTTCAGGTATCGTAGATGGTGGTCGTTGGTTTGTTCGCTGGGCTGGGCAATTTGATTGCAAACGTTTCAACACCAATCGAGGTGACATCATCAGTGCGTTATTGTGGAGCGTAGTAGTGTGTAGCGGTAGTTTGGTGGTTGGCACAACCACGCTCCACAATAACGCACTGATGATGTCACCTCGATTGGTGTTGAAACGTTTGCAATCAAATTGCCCAGCTCAGCGAACAAGCCAACGAACACCATCATTTCCATTATTCGAGTCTCCTTCTTTCACACGCATTGTCGTCTCTGGGCATCTGGGTCTCCTCAAACTTGTCCTCCTCACTCACTGCCATGAGAAATAGGCCCAAAAGGCATTCACCATTTTACGGATGATCCGACGCACCTTCTCCAATATTACTCGCTTGGACTTCCAAGTACTCTATGGGGCTTACGTCAGACCGGTCCTGGAATACGCCAACTAAGTTGTCCACTCAGGACGCACGAAAGACTTCACCCTCATTGAGCGTATCTAGCGAGCCGCTACGAAAATAGTTGTCGACCCCAAATCCGTGGACTACGGAACACGTCTCGCGATGCTTGATCTCTTTCCCCTGGTTTACCGTCGCCTCCGAAGGGCCCTAATACTTACTTATGCCCTGTTTGAACAAAGCTTGGTCGACAGGTTTTTCACCGTTGACTCAGCAAACACACGGCGGGGACATAGTTAGCAGCTTCTCTAGCTCTGAGCTCACACATTCATTAGGCGAAATTTTTTCTCATTTCGGGCAGTAGGTGCGTGGAACGGCCTTCCCCCGGCGGCAAACATACCGCCCCGCGCCGAGAAGATAAAGAGCAGTGCTATACCCTTTTTCCACTTCTGCCTTTCAGGTGAACGACAGCCACTGACCAACAAGAACAAAACCGACCAGGGAAACTTGGGAAAAGCCTCAAACCTTTGTACCAATCCGGGAATCCGTGAAACTCGGTGCCTGTTTCGGTGGTATGCTACGGGGACGACGATAATTTCCAGTTGGAAAATGACAAACATTTTAGGAAATTTGAGCCGACTTAGTGACGAGCTACATGACACCTGACGTTATTATGCTGATGGGATCCAGACGTGTTCCCAACCTCCGCCATCAATGGAGAGCTGCACTAGAGTTGTTTCACTATCCTAAAACGTTTCTGCCAATAATGCGAGGGGTTTTGAACTATTGCCCTTGACTGATGTCGGCAACTCAAATACGGTAATTTATTTCATCAATACATCTTCCTGTCTCATTACCCCAACCATCGCTCCATAGTCTGCATGCCGATTAATTTTTTGGCTGGAATGAAATTTCCCTACCAGCGTATTGTATTTGTGGGGGTTAGGAAGTATCAGTGTCGACACTGATGTTGCTGTCTTTGATTATGATGAATAATTTCTTGGAGTATATACTTACGCAGTGATACTAAAACCTTGACATAATGACCCAGTTATGTGTCTCACAAATCAAACGAATTGGCTTACAATTCGTTTGGTTACAATTTAGTAACTTAGGTCGTCTAAGTAGGTAGGATAGTTGGGAACAAATTCAGTAAAAATGTGCTCTCTTTGAAATTTCTTTAAACAACCAATGCCTCAAGACTACTACATTCAACCTCGTTATCTCGTTAGGTGCCCTGGCAACCTAAGTTCTGGGGGCAGAGATTTATTGGGGACATTTCTGTAATATACTTAAACCTCAGGTAATTCGGGCGTACGTGAACGACTTCTGCCTGACTACCTGAGTAAGTTTTATTTTGTGTGAGCCCCAGGAGCAGTGATGATCTGAAGGTAGAGATGCAATCAACGTCTTTGGAAGAAAGACAGTAAGAAACGCATGTGATAAAGTCCTGTAAGCAAGACTGTACATAACCAATAATTACATATAAATCGACCAAAGTGGCAGATGCTGTATTTCATGTGGTGAAACTTTAGACGGTAATACGCAAGTACTACAGTTTAAGGTTCAGGTGGCTGAAAATTTTAAACGATTTGGCTTCTTTGAACACCAACATATGAATCCACCGGATTGGAGCTATCACTTGAGATAAAGTGGCTTCGGGATTTGAGAGTGAGGTGCTATGGGTAATGGCTGGCAGCCCCATGTGCTTCGACTGCACCAAAGATGTTGGCTTAACCCCTTTTCATTTGTAGTCCCCGATGTTGATGTGACACTTTCTAGTAACCTGTTCACTGGGTTCACGGACCGCGTAGGGGACGCTAACTAAGAGGCTGCCAGTTTAAAATGGTGCCCTTTACTCTTGGTTCGTTTCAGTCAAGCAGTGGATGATTCCAACTTAGAAAGTTCCTTGAGGCTGTCTTGATGAAAATCGAGCAATGGGATGCCCATGTTTATTCATTTTTGTATGGGTTAAGGCATAGTTGTTTGTCGATGTAGCCGAGTATAAAAACGGTTCCGATAAGTCTTCTGATGTTTTGTCTTGTACACACCTTGGGAAACAAGCATTTGCTCGCGCACATTCGGTTACTTTGTAATGTACCGCACGGCTTTCGTAAGGTCTGTGCTCTAAACAATCTGAATGTGGCGGAGCGCACGTAACGGGTGCCAGCCTCCGTAAAGATCCGAGTCCCCGCATCTTCCAGACAGGAAGACTGTTAAAAACGTACCTGGTCTGTTCATGGTCCAGCACGCTACGACCGAGCCACCTATTGCCCACTTTTTCACATAAGTCTGATGATTGCCTTCTGCAAAGTGCAACTTATCATTGTGAAAGCATGTGCGTTGAGCCCAATGCAGCGCTCAGGCATTTTCTATCAGGAGCCATGGATTTATCAGTCTCTTTGTTGGAAAAATCATGGGATATTTGCAGTTGGCCATCAATTACCCTCAAGGCTATCAGGTAAAAGGAAGAGCAGTAATGCGAGGAACAAGACGCCAAATATGGTCAAGATTGCTCTGGAGAAAGGAGCTGCTGAACAAGGTCAACAACAGTGAAATCACTTGTCACTGAATGGAAACAAAAGAATCCTCATGAACACTCATTCTGAGTTAGTGTAGCCCATCATATCAACTAGCACTCTTGTTGTGATAGTATTTTTATCTTTTTAGTGGTCGCTCTCTGTTCCCATTAGGTTTGAAATAAGTTCCCTTAGCCTATTACGTGAATTTATGGAGATGTGATCTCACCCGTATCAGACAGCACTTCCCTCATCCGGATACCTTCAACTGAGCTCTGTCTTGCTAACCAGGAATGGCTTGGCAGAAACTCTCTGTACTTTTTCCCTTGCTGCAGAATCCTTGTTAAGCTAAAATGCCAAAATGTTTGCCTCGTATTCCAAATTGTGTAACAAACGCTCTGGGCAGATTCAAACGGACTTTAAACTTACGGCTGGAGACAGCTCACCTGATACCTGTTAGGGTGAAGTTTCCACTTATGACTGCGTCAGAACACTATCCGCCTGGTTTTTAATATCCCCAGTCATTTCCTTGACCCTACGTACCTCAGTCAGCCCTGTTTTTGCATTCAAAGCAAGTGGAAAAGCTCTTTGTTTTTGTCGTTCAGAATCTGACATTTATTTGAGTTCCGCAGAAGTTTCAATTTCCCTCTCATATGGTTACTTCTTATAGGTTTTCAGGCTTCTTTCTAGACACTAGTGAAGATTGGTTTCCTTCCTTTACCCTATATTGTGAGATAGCTACCATTTCTATTTCATTAGACGGCTTCTGTGTTTGCCTGATAGCATGCTGACTCTTAATGTTTCCCAATGTCCTTCGCGGTATGGGAATATAGCATCAGCCACAGCAGTGCTCTTGTGTTTTTCATCGACGTGTTCTGATCACGATATGGCAGTTATGCACCAGTGTGTATTACTATTTGATGTGAGAGTCGAGTGGTTCCAGGTCGATATTAGAAGGAATGCAGAATAGAGTGACATAATGTACGCTTTGATCTTTTGATGGTAGTATATGAACTGGAACTATAGAATGAAAATTACCAGTTAACGATGTATGAAATGTGTGGTTTACATAGTCGTGACTTTCACTCCGCCTTGAAATAAGTGTGTACTTTTGTTGTGAACAAGTGTAAAAAAGAAAAACCGTGGTAGTTACGTGGATTCGTTTACGCCTATCTTCTGCGCAGCTTATATGAGTGAATGCACTGTTATCGTGTAAGGATATCGAAGCGATTTCCTGCGTATGCACTAGAATGGGGTGATGAGCCATCGTTAAAGGACAAGATTTCAGTCACGGCAGACTGATGGTGTTTGGTGAGGTTCCTCTTTTTCGACGATGCGCACTGGTTCCGGTTCTGCGTTGGAAGTGTTGGATCTCATGCCGGTGCCTCTAGGAGCCAAGCGCCGTATGGATACGGTTTCGTCTTTGCCAATCATGATGATGTGCAATATTGTTCAATCTAGCTATAAAACATGTATCAAGGACACTTTGGGGGCGAGATGGCTCAGCGGTTAGAGCGCGAATTTACTGACCGGAAGGACCGTGGTTCGAACCCGACCTCTGCCCCTCGACTTCCCCTGTATAGGCTTGGGCAACCTCCCTAACCCTAACTCTAACCCCTTCCTTCTGGTGGCATGGCAGCTAGGCACCGAAAGGGTGCTACAGCTGAATGATTTTTTATTATATTATACTTAGAGGAAGGCAGCTTCACTGTTTCCATAAACCTAGAGATACTAGTTTCCTTGATGAAACGCCTTACTACCTTCACACTCTTATCGCGAGGTGCAGTACGGCTTTACCTCCAGACCGCCTCGTAATATGATTGCTCACAGTACGGGGACGATCTATTCTTCGTGAGGCTGCTCACCATTGGCCTTCTTTGTATGGTTGATCCGTGAGGAACAGAATTCCAGTCAGTATAACCCACAGGATCATTATATCACTGAAATCAGACTACCACGACAAGGTGACATCTTTATATTAGCTTCACTGGTCCATTCACCGCCCTTTCTCTTTTGGCGACTTCCACGTAATGGTTATCTACCACCACTGTCAGAGCTCACCTTGGTTTTGGGACATGGTTAAATAGCTACAGCTCATTATGTGCCGTTTTTAGTGTGAGTTGTAGAGTTAAGACGACTACGTGCTTTGCGGCAGTATCGCTTGCAAGCATCGCACCTGACGCCATTTGTCTTTGTTTGTTTTCTGTACTTCGTAGAAACACGAAGGCATTCCTTCTCTTTATTGTCTTAGGAGCAGCATCACTTGTTGTTGGCACGATATGTGCATTTGGAACGCCAGCGTAAGCCCTACCAATGCTATAGATATTCCTCTCTATCGCTGTTAATGTGGTGGCGCTTTTTATACCCCACATAGTCAAGTTGTTCCGAAGAGATCAACAAGGAATCTGCACTGCCTCAGATTCTTTTAAGACGAGAGTGAAAAATGGCTTGCTAGGTCAGTTAGAATGGTCTCGTCTCTATGCAGAATGACTTCCCTGAGTATTTATTCTTGGAGTATTCATGAATCTCCCACTTCCACGCACCTCTGTTGCTATGCGCTTGCTATGTTCTTATGTGAGTGGCTGGTTGACTGCTTCAGTCAATCAGTTAATCAATCTATCAGCTATAAACCCCGTATCATAGGCACATTGGTTCCAGCTACTACACTTGTGATCACCGTAGAATGAGAGAGTGCGGGAGTTGCCGCCAAGCCTTGGAGGCGATGGCGTGTTCACTTAGTCCAGGAATTGGGTAACTGCGCATTGAAGGGATAGCTTAGGTGCACGAGCGCCACTGACTTCAGCCCCAAAGATGCGGATTATCAACGATCTTCGGAATGTTTCCGTCTTTGCTGACTATGGGCAGCGAATTGTCCTCTTGCAGTTCGTTTCAACCGTGATTCTGCGAGCAACAATAAATCCGCTTTTGGAGACTTCCACAAAACAAATCGGAGGTTTGAGAACCGTGGGAAACTCTAGTGGGATCCACTTCATACAAAAATCACGCCATTTGGTTTACTTAAATCCAATTGCGGTTTCTAAGGTTTTCCAAAATTCTGAGGCTCCACGGTGTCAGAAGAATTATTTGACACGTACATCTCAGCACACAAACAATCCATTCATTGTAGTTTCGTGTTTTGCAACCCACTTTGGCACTACGTATGGACTGTAGTCCATTTTGTGAAATGAGAATCGGACTTAAGCATTCCTTTCGTACTGGATGGAAAGGCCTAATTACTCATCCCGTAAGATCCGCGAAAGTCACGAACTCTTTATTTACAACGTAAAAAGTGGTTTCCAT